GAAAATCTCAAGGAGACCAGTTCAATTTGCAGTACCTTTGGAATGTGTCCTCAGTTTCCCTTTTCCCTCAGCCATGACTGCCCTGCTCTCTCATCTGTGTAGCTGTAGTCAGGCGTCACTGGTAAAATAACATGATGGTGCAGCGACGTACTGTTGCACACACATTTTTCTCACAGTTCCTTTTGATCCAGGCTGTATAGATGCTTTACCTTATGGCCTCTATTGTATGGCAGCATTTTTGTTGTGGATGCTGTTTTCTTTCTCGTGTTCTTCGCTCAGACAGATGGAATAGTGACCAACTCCGTGCTGATTGTGACTTGTAATACTGAGCTTGCAGTAATCAGCCCATTTTTGCTCTTTCAATTATAAACGTTTTGAGCATTTAGAAATCCTTGTAAGTGGACTGATGCAGTTAGCAGCTTCTATCAGAGTGTTTCAGATTAGTGGCAGATGCCCAAAGCTTTTCTTGTGGCATTTGGCAGTTTGAGGAAAGTGGTGTAACTTTCATCATCTACTTTTGCCAAATGGCTCAAATGATTCCAGTTGCCAGGAAGATAAAAATCAGCAGTCTGGAATATTCTTTGATGTATGTTTTTTCTGGATATGGAATGGAACAAATGGAGCATTATCAACCCTGCTTGAGAGACTCCTGCCTGTTGGTTGCATTTGCTGGGTGGGTTTGTTTTTTTAACTTGCTATGTATTTCAAAATTAAATTGCTGGGTTTTTTGGATTCAGTCTGCAGGCAACACATCCTTCATTCTGTTCTCATTGCTGTTCAGAATGAATGTAAATTAAATACAAGTTTAAGTATTTGTATGTGTATCCATTTTTGTATGTAGATAGAAGATACTGTTCCTTCTGGGGAGTAATAATTTTGTCATTCACATTACTTTATTAGTCTTCAACATAATCTTTTTAGTTCTTGTCTAGTTCTAATTTTTTTAAACATTCCTCAATCATGTTTTTTTTTAAAAAACTGGTCATAGTAAAATTTTATTTCTTTTATTTGCAATGTTTTTTCTTACATCTGTTTAGTGTTTTGCCTAATATGACTAGTGGATGCATCATAGTTGCTATATCCCATGTGTTAGCAATTTTGTCCATAGTTGTGGATCCAAGATGGGAGAGAGGCAAGAGTGGTGGGGACTTTTGTTGCTTAGGGGCTTATTTGATTTTTTTTGTTTTGTGTGGTGTTTAGTTTTCCCTCTAGTTTTAATGTATGGATCTGATAGACTGGACAACATCCCCTTTCTTTACATGTCCTTCTATTTTAGGTTTCCCTTACATTAGAACCTACTTTAGAACAAAAACCCTATTAATTGTAGCCATTGGGTTGAAACTGACCCAGTAGTTGTCCGATTTTGTTTTTATTTTCTGGGGGAAGAAAAATGAGGCTCAGTGATTTATCTACAATTAAAATGTTTAATCTACAATTAAAATGTTTGATTTTTTGAAAACATGGTCAATTCAAGCAATGTGCTGCCGGTTAATTAAAGAAATAAAACTTTCCTAATTTATTCATTCCCTCTTCTGTGCAAAACAAAGCAGCTAGAGTAGGCAGAATCAGGAACATAGGTAGGAACAATAGTCTGGGATTCTTTTCCCCTTCATATAGTACTGCCAAATGCACATCTTCAGAGCTTCCTCTGGACTGTGAGACCCTGACTTTGTTTTGTATTTGTCATAGGTGACACACATAGGTGACAGTGTACATATCTCACAAAGAGCTCACTTAGATTGTCTGATGCCGTGCTGGTAGACTTGTTTTCAGCATAGTTGTATCCTTGTTATCCTGGGTGATGGCTCAGAAGTGTGAGGAAGCAGTGGCTTACAGCACCACGTGCTATCATAGTAGGAGAGCTCATGTATGGGGTAGGGAAAGCGGGCACATAGGAAAGGAGGGAAAGTTGGTGTTCAGGTCATTCTGGATGTGTCACTATCACTACATTATTTAAACTCTGCTATAATCTACCTTGAATTTCTGCTTCTCTGAGCTATTAAAACTTGGCTTTGTCTTAGGAGGGTTTGAAGATGCTCTTTATGGATGGGATGAAGGGCATAGAGGCACCACTTTACACTTGCCCTTGAATTGGGTCAAGTTGGCTGCTGAGTTGTGTCGTGGTGATAAGAGATTTTAATAAATGCTAATTTCTTCCAAAAGCACCCCTTTTGATCCTCCTTCTCGTGGCAGAATAATCCAGTAAGCATTTGCCACTCCACATTATAGTGCTTGACTCTTGAAAAAAGTTCCTAGTTTAAGTCTGTGATATTATGTGAGTTCTGTTACAGTGATTGTGTTTTTGTGTGGATGTTTTTACATTGTTCTAAAGCTGTCTTATAATGGACCATAATATGTTATTGTAAACTTACACTGATCTGCGTATGTGAGTTTAATATCACCTCTGTATTTTAAATGGTAAGAGAGTATGCTGACCTGGTCTATAGTACTTCCTCTACCTGGTTCATTTTCTGCCCTGATTCATGGGCAGAGACAAGGCTGGATCCACAGGTTAATGATTGTTCTCACTGAGTTGTATTTATCTCCTCACTTGGAATTCTTTTACTTTCTGGGACAGTTCAAAATTCAAAATTTTTATTCAGAATTTAAATTCAAAAGATATTTTATTTTCTTCCATGTTCTCTGAAAGTTTAGGCAGAATGCTTCCTATCAGGTGCACTCAGATCCTGGTGGAGGTATTTTTTGTATCAGTAGCAGCTGCAGTGGCATGATTTAAAACTGAAGGAAAGCAGAAGGTAATTTGGCATGGAAGGTTTGGGTCTTTTTTTTGGTGACCATTCATCACCCCAGGTCAAACCCCAGAATAGACTGAGGCCTGGATAAAGAAGATAGATGAAATTTTTTTGTTAGTACCTTGGTAAAGCTAAGATTGAATTGAGAGCTTTAACCTGTATTTTTATGGGTTAAAGCATGCTTTAATGGTTCATATTTCTGCTTTTGCTCTTTCTTTTTTTTTTTTTTTTAAATAAGGGGAAATGCAATTCTTAATACTGGTAAAAGTGCCTATAGGTCATGTTAAAAATTACACATATGAGGTAATTTAATTTCTGAAGCAGTGAATAGAACCAATGTGTATGTACATGTTGCTTATGTGTATGCTCTTTATGCCATTTGCTTTAATCCTGTTCTTTGGTAATGGCTTGCCGGCCAACAAGAAAGGAGGAAAATCAAACAACTCTGCAATATAAACTGAAAAAATGTGTTGTGTTATAGGATAATATAGTAGCTTTAAAAATTATTAAAAAAAAACAAAACAAAACAAACAACAACAAACAAAAAAATGCAAACACCAGAAAACCACAAAAAATGGACTGTGTGAAAATGAACAAAGCTTAAAGTAACAAATGTAAGTGTCTAGCTCTGATAAAGATGGGAATTGCACCTCATATTTTAGGGTTCAGGTCTCTGGGAAATGCTGAGCACTTCACAGTGGGATGCAGGAATTCAGATTCTCTAGGAGTCACATTTTGGGGGAACTGCTGAGAAAGAGAATATCTGAGGAAATAAGGCAGAAGAGTGAGGAGACTGAGAGTAGGTAAGAAGTAGTGAAGTGGAGGAGAAAGTAGACCAAGGACTTAAGCAGGTAAATGTTGCCAGGTTTTGCTGGGTTGATTTGATGTGTTAGTTCCTTGCCCCTTCAGTTGGATGTTATCATCCCTGTGATATGCCAGGCTTTCCCTGTCCATGTAATGGGTTTGTATAACAAACAGATCTCTGCATCAGGCAGTGATGCGTGTGGGCTTCTAATGCCCCCATACGAGGGGCAGCTGGGTGTACATCCATCTTCCATGGTCCAAGTGAGATTTGACAGAGATCATAGGCAAGAGACATGAGGGTAGGCAGGGGATTGCCATATGGAAGGAGGAAGATATGTAAGAGAAGTAGTAAGGTGAGTTATGAGAGAGCTTGCTTACAAAGATAACAAAATGGGGACAGTGCTCTATCTTTCATGTTTGTGGAGACAGAATTTTTGAGAGGTGGGAAAGATGTAAACTCGTCAAAGTTTATGGCACTGAACATGTCATCTGGTGTGTTACTGGGAATTCAAAGTGATATTTTGATCGAGAAAAAGTCACTAAGAGACAGGGAAGAAGAATCTCTTCATGGTTAAACATACAAAATTACAAGAAGAGCTGCTGAAATTTAGTGCAACTTCTTTAGCCTTCTGCTTGTTTTGCGGTCTGCCTGTGAATTCATATTGCTTGGGCTTGGAAGTGTTGTTTAAGAGCTGGAATTGGTTTTATCTGTTCAGCCAAATGAAGTGCAAAGGATCTGCTGTTGTTGAGGGCTGTTGGAAAGACCCTTCAAGAACAACATTGCTCAGTGTGTAGATTTTAAACAGCACCCCAAGGTCTCTGTACCCTTCTCTGTGGAGCTGCTTACATGGAGTATTTGAATGGATTATTTTAAACTTACTCTCTTTCTTTCTATGCATATAGAACTTGAAACAGTGCAGAACTGTCTTCTGAAAATCCCTCTGCTCCCTTTTTTAACGTAACAACTTTTAGGACCTAAGAATTTGCTGTCTTTTCCCTTTTACTCCCCTCTTAGATTTTCTATCTTTCTACTCTTCATCTCTTGCCTCTTTTCCATACTCTAAGAACTTAATATGTCATACCCATGGGTTTTGCCAAATTTACTTTGCATAAGGTGAAATGATATTTTAAATTTCCACCAAGCCTGTAGAAGACCTACAAACCAGGGGACCAGGGAAGTGCTTTTAGGAGGAGAAGGGGCAAAAAAGTAAGACGAGCAGATGTTTTCATGAGCTTTGGTACATGCAGTTTTCGTGTTCCAGAACTGCCCCTTTGTACAAAAGGTGCAGAAGTTTGTTTGCCCCTTGAAGCATCTTTGAACAGTTTGACATGCCTGCTTCCAGTACCTGCTCTAGCACTTCTCAGGTTATGGTTTCTTCCTGTTACTAGCTGCTCCAGGATTATACATTACCTGAAGTCTCACTTCTTTCCTTCTCTTGACAGCTGCAAATCAAAAAGAGCCTTTGACTCCTAATTTTAAAGTGAAAGAGGAGCCTAAGGATGAGGAAGCTGCAAGTTCAGCCGTGTCTCAGTCCAGCTATGTGTTCAGCCAAGAATCTGAAGCCTCAGCTCCAAACATCCCTGAGGAGAAACTCAAGCCACAGGAAGCACAGGCAAATGTGATGAGGCAGGACATGTCAGTCAAGGCAGCGTCTGAGCTCCTCATGAAGCTCTCAGGTAGATATTTAATTTAATAATATTGAACTTCCTAACTGGTTTTTTTCATGTGTGCTAACAGGGTTACTTGCAAGGAGGTACGTTTAGCTTTAGTAGCAAGTCAAGGAACAGTTGAAAAGCCCTGTCTGCACAGTTGCACTTACATAAAGCATGTTGGTCTGTCACTACAGTATCTAATTATCTCTGCTCTGTTTTTCAAATTAATGACTATGGAATAAGTCAAAAGAAATGATGCCTTAAAGCTTTCAGATGCTGTAATTTTTAAAATGTACAAAACATGTTAATACCAATTTATTCACGTGTCACTTCATTAACATTATAAGAGTGTGTGTCTGTACTGAACTGTACCTGACAGAGCTTTATAAAACATGACTTTTAAAGCCTTTTATTTCTTCTGACAATATCTTGTACTCAAAATGACAAGATACACTGTTAAAAAAATGATATAAACTGAGACAGCTTTCTGCATTTAGTGAGCACACTTGAACTTGCCTACATTGCCTTAGTGATACATCCTACTGCCAGACAAGTAGACAGTGTGCATGTGTACACACAGAGGAAATGTTAAAGCTGGAGGGAGTCAAATAATGTGTGTTCTGCTAATTATGCTGTATGTAACTGTCAGAATCGAGGTTTAAATTTAAGGGAAAGTAAAAGGGTTGAATTATTGCTGCTGGGAACAGGTTAAGTGAATGACAAAAAAGGCTTTGAACTTCTGACAGATCAATGTTAGGACCAAGACATGACAGTCAGCCTAGCAGTTTGGGTTTGTACTTCCACACCTGAACTGGATCTGTTAGTTTTTAAGTCAGAATTCTCGAAAACTTATTATGCCAAAGTCATGCAAGAAGTGCAAGTGGAAATGCTTACAAGTTGAGTAACTTCTGAGATCCCTGTCAAACCTACCTGAAATTATTTGTCTTGATTAGATCCTGTAAACATTGAATTTGGACTCAAATTTATATCTGAAAGACTCTGACTGACCAGGATCTCCCCAATAAAACATGTAATTAATTCACTCCTGTTCATACCTGCACACTTTAATTTTAAGAATTTGCATCATTGATTTGTAACCCTTTTGTATTAATGGTTCAAAAAATACTTTCCAAGTACAAAAGTTGATCAGAGCAGAAGTTTCCAGACTTTTCACAGACTCACAAATAGTAAACATTTGGTTATTGGTAAAGTTCACTGTTGCTGCTGGTAACTGGTTTGAGTGTGGTGTTTTGGTAACAAAACTTTGCAGCTTAAGTAATGCTAACCTGTGACTCCATTTTGCTTGGTGCATATAAATTTAGGTAGCTATTTTTATAAAGAAAGAGGTCTGTAACTTAACGTTTTCTTGGATACTTCAGAGACATAAAGGTTCTGGGTTGTACATCTTGAATTCAGCATTTGGAGGCTGTGTTCAAATAGGTTTATTACTGACTATTATGTTAGAATATTTATGCCTTAAATATCTGTTTGTATGAGTGAAATCTTGCACGTATAAAGTATTGATCAAGTCTTCAGTCCCTTCTGTTGGGACCTCCCAGACTTCAAAGGCTGTAGGAAGAAATACGCTGCTGTGACATTTCTCTTCTAATCTCTTACTGACTGAGCAGTTTTTGCTGGCAGTGGGCTTTTTGGTGAATCTATAGGTTAGAAGGTGAAGAATGACTAGGATTTACTGAGTCAGTGTTGCTGCAGTTGGTATTCCTGCATCAGCCAGTGGGTGGGGTTACACCAAGTTTATCACATACAGTTTTTCAATTTCCACTGAATTACCTGAAATACTGAATTACCATATAAGGCAGAAACTATAAAGGAGGTAAATACTAAGATACAGTTTAATGTAGGACAAATATATGAAGAAAATCTAAAATGAATAGCCTCTTCAGTGTTTTGTTTTTTGGGGTTATTTAATCTTTGTCTGGTTGAATACTCGCAGGTCACTGTTGACTTCTCACCTTATCTTAAGCAATTCTGTAGCCTGGTTTTGGTGATTTAAAACTTAAACAATTAAGCCACTTCTTCATAGAATGCTTTTGGTTGGAAAGGACCTTAAAGATCACAGAAATATTTAGGCTGGAAAAGACAACCAAGATCATCCACTCCAACCATTGACTGATCACCACCTTGTCATCTGGACCATGGCACTAAGTGCCATGTCCAGTTGTTTTTTGAACACCTCCAGGGATGGTGACTCCACCTCCTTGGGCAGCCTGTTCCAATGCTTGACAACCCTATCCGTGAAGGAATTCTTCCTGATGTCCAACCTGAACCTCCCCTTTGTTATTTTCACTTTCTACTGTGTAATACTAATTACAGAAACCTGCACCACATACAAAGTCAGCAAGGGATTTCCAGCATAATAGCATTTTGCTTTCTGCATTCCTGACGTACATGCTGTCGTTATCCTCTGAGCAAGAGTATTGCTGATTGTTTCAGCCCCAGGGGAGCCTCTTGGGATTTAGGCATAGACCTTGCTCTCTCCTCCATGTAAAAAATATGCTGGTTTATATTTTTCACTGGGAAATCTATTTTCCCAAGATGTGTTGCCAGCTCTTAGCTGTACTGTGTAGTGGAAGGACTTTCTAGCTCTGGATCCTAATTTGGTTTACTGGATACTGTAAAGTAGACTTCAAATCACCAGCGCCTGTAATGGAGGGACTTGTCAGCCACTCAAAGTATTCTAAAGCTAGGAAAAGTTAGAAAAATAAACTTACTTTACTGTAGTAGAACATCAACAGAACATTTGTTAGTTGTCATTGTAGAAGTGGATGTAGAGAAACAAGAAAATCACGCACAGTTGCCTATTTTAGTTCTACTACACATGGCTCTCTCTTTCAAGCTAAAGGGCTGTTGGGACACTTGCAGGCTTCTAGGAACACACAATCAGTGTTTAAGTTCAGGGCCTTACCTCACATATTACTTTGGTGTAGTTGGACATGCTTTTATACCATCTTTTTCTCTACCATGTTCCAATTGGATTCAAGTCTTCTACCCCACAGTTCACAGACTTGATACCTAATCACCTGATACCTACTCACACTTCTTCCAAAGGATTATCCGAGCTAAGAAGGCTAATGTCTCTTGAGCAGGTGTAGGCAGAACCCATTTCCACCCAGATAGTCAGAACAAAACTTCCCAATAGCTAAACTACTATTTAAAAGTAAATCAAATGCCCATTTGAAAGAAATGGTATTTGGGGATTAGCAGGCAAAGTTTGAGCCTCAGTGCTGACTTTCTACCTACATTTTACAGAAAAAAATAAAATGACTACTAAACGATATCTATGAGTGTACAAAGGTGAGCTGTGAATTCTGTCTGGTACTAAGTCTTAACTGAGACTAGAGCCAATGGTAAGCAAACAGATTTGAGGAGATAGTGGAGTGGGGCAAATTGCTCTCGTCTCTGTTTGGAAGGGTGCCATCCCTGCAAGTTTTTGAATTCCTTATATTAAACATTGCATGATATCAATTATAAGAAATGAAAGTAATATATTTCAGATACATCTGTTTTCTACATTCTTACCAGTTCTCTTTCATGGAAAAGCTAATTTATTTCTTAAAATGTTTAATGAAGTGGTGTACTGGGTGATACCTGGTCAGTTTTATACACTCAGTCTTGTAAATTGAAAGGTAGGTTTCAGAGGAGACTGAAATTTAAAATAAATATTTGCATTTATGTGCCAGTGTTTGAGCCTAAAAGTTCATTTTCTGTTGAGTTATGCTGCTAATGTGTTTGGGGCATGTATTAGCTTTCAGAAGCATAGAGTGTTTTGCCTTCTTGTCCAAAAATGAATGCATAGGTGGAAGTGTATAAAATAGATATTAGGAAGAAATTCTTTACAGAGAGGGTAGTCAGGCATTGGACTGGGCTGCCCAGGGAAGTGGTGGATTCACCGTCCCTGGAGGTTTTTAAGATGAGACTGGATGTGGCACTGAGTGCCATGGTCCGGTAACCACAGCGGTAGTGGATCAAGGGTTGGACTTGGTGATCTCAGAGGTCCCTTCCAACCTGGCTGATTCTATGATTCTGTGAAAATCTATTCCAGGTACTAGCACTTCATGAATAGTATTTTACCCTGGTGCCTTGAACTTGACGTTAGGATGTCCCTGTCTTTCCTACAATTTTGTCTGAATTACATTTGCCTTTAGTTCAGATGAATACATTTCACAAATAGGACATATTTTGCATTTCAGTAGTAACTCGGCTTGTTTTCCTCCTCTCTTTTTTCAGTTGGTCAATTCCCCCTGTATGGCACATATCCTTGTTATCACTAGCAAATGCATGACCTTTGTGCTATTTAGGATTTTTTGTACTTCAGTCTTCAGGTCACACAGTGCTGCTTGTAGTAGACCAGTACCAACAATATGTCTTAATTCTGGGTTATCAACAGATGCAATTAGTGCATGCTTACTTCATGACCTCAGCACACAAAGTAAAATGTTGCCTACAATTGATTCCAAAAGCATTCTTGATCAACTCCATTTATTATCACCTAATTATATGACAGTTCCTCTTTCAGCACAACTGGTTATTACCAGGGGGGTGGGGTGGGGAGTGTTTGCCTTTTTTTGATTAAGCCATTATCTACTTGAAAGTGTTTATGCTGATTTCCTGTTTCATGCCTTGTAGTTAATTTTTTTGACACTATATCATATATTTAACTGAAATCACGGGGATTAGAACTTCTATTTAAAAACAATAAGACAAAGGAAAAAGAATGATAGTACAGTTCTATATAAAATGAAGGCCAGAACACCTTAATGCCATGCCCATCCCAGAAAATGACACATGGTGCATTAGGCCACAGTGACTTGAAGGACTATCTGAGAAGTATCTGTCAAAACAGTACAGAATTCCAGAGTAACTAAATAACAGTATGACTTTTAAAAGTCTACTAACCAGGGAGCGCTATCAGAGACAGAGAAAGTAACCTTGCTACATATTTCCTTTTCACAAATTTGGGGACTGTTAAGGGAAGTGCTCGTGTGGAGGTAGGCTGTTGTTTT